CTATAAATAATTTCTAACTAAAATGTGTAACTAAAAATGTCTAACTAAAAATAAAATAACAAAATGTCTAACTAAAAATAGCTAACATTCCAATTGATCGAGCTTAGTTTGCAAGCGAGTATGTTGTGACTAAAAAGGAAAGTGTGTCATCAAACTAAACTCCTAAAATTTAACTATTAATGTTTACACTGTCTATTTCAAAATACATTTTGACTTTGATACTTTGTTTTAAAAAGTAGTATTTTAGATATGCTTTTGTTTGTCAACAACAACAACAAAATCAAGATAATTATTTTCCTCAAAATTTACAATAATATATTAATAATAATAATCATAATAATAATAGTAATAAAAATAAAAACAAAGAAACAAGAATTTCTATAAAATTATAAATAATAAAATCAAAGTATAATTATTAGGAATAAATATAAATTATTGATTGAGGAAGGAGTCACTCATGCAGAATCCTGACCAAAGGAGTGACACCAAATTATTGTATAATTATATTAAGTTAAATAATAATAATAATAATGATAATAATTTTATTCATTAATAGAGTAAAAGTAAAAGCAAAAATAACAGTTTTTATATTAATAGTAATAATAAAAAAAGCAGTAATGAAATTAATAAATATTAATGACAAAGAAGAAGTTGTAAAGCCAATTAAATTTTGTCTTGATTTATTTTCAATAAATGTTACAGACAGTATTTTTATATTTTTTTGAGGGTTTTCAATGTATGTAGTGCTGAAATGAAGTAGAAGAAGAAATTAGATAAAAAAGAATCCCACAGATTCCTGGAACACATTTTATATTTGGGGAGAGGAGGTAGATTATAAAATATTTTGACAAATTACCAATTTCGTCAAAATGCAGTATCAAATTTTTTCCTGGTTAACGCTCGTTTGTATAAGCATATTTATTTATTCTTATATGGGTATTTATTCATTCTTATACACATGTTTATTTATGCTTATATGCGCATTTATATGCAGGTCAACTACCTAAAAAATCTCTAATATAATTTTATATAAACAAATAGGCTTTTATGATTTTATATAGATATATTCAAAATATAAATTAGGTTGTTGCTACTGCTATTTTTTAGAAATTTAATGATAAAATTAAATGAAGATCTATTTTAAAATTAAGTAAGAAAAGGAGGGTAGTTTATACCTTAAATAAACCATCGTCAAATGTAAAAATGTTCTTGATGAAAACATTTTTAAAATCATGCATTTATACCCTTAATAAATTAAATTAATGTTAAATATTGTTTTGGAAAGTCAACAACAGTGAAAAATAACCTCAACAGATGCTAGCTTAATTAAAGTTATTATATTTTATGCATTTTTATACATTTTATTTATATTTTTTTAGGTTTGGTTGGTTATACCTTCTTGTAGTAGCTACTGTTACAGCTGATTATAAAAAAAATCTTTATAAATTTTTTTTTAATTTTCTTCAAGTTTTTAGGATATATATTACCATAAAGTAGAATTATGGAAACCATATAATTTATAATTAAAATATAATAATATATAGTTTATTTTTCTTTGCTTAGGTTTCCCCGAATAGCCAGCTCCCATTAGAATTAAAGTATCAATCTTTAAATTGGAAATGCAAACATGCTGGAGTAATTAATTCTCGAGGAAAAGGAAAGCGCCAGGTAATTTATACCAAGTTTTATAAGTTTATGAAATTTTAGAAACAGATATTACTTCTACCTTCTTTTTGATTTCTTATTTTGATTACCCTGATTTCTGCTTTGTTTTCTCCACTCATATAATACATGTTTCCAACAACGCTTCATTGGACCAAAGACAGATACATCTAATGGCTGCATTAAATGTGTGGCATTTGGTGGCAACATAGCAAAGTAAACATTATGCTCCTTAGCAAGTTTAATAACGTCTGGATTAAAATGAGAGGCCAAGTTATCTCCTAAAAGAAGCTTGGGTCCATTTAAATTCTGAACGTTCGGCAAGAAGCATTTTTCAAACCACTTGGCAAATGTCTCCATATCAAACCAACCTGATTTTGTGCAACTGTATATTGTTCCCTGTGGCCCTCCTGTTACCCAACCTTTATAAACGTTCGATGCTCTATAAACTACCATCGGTGGTTGTAGTACTCCTGAAGCAGAGCCACACCACATAAGAGATATAGAAGTTTTACTATGTTCTTGAACGTTTTCCACTCGTCGTCTTCGCCAATTATTTTTCCGTACACCATTGGCAGTATCATTATCCGTTGGCAGTATCTTTTTAAACAGCCGATTATTTCGAAATGAAAACATTAAAAAGTGGGCGTTTTAAATTAAATTTAGAAATCGAACAAACAAATCTTTTTATATCAAAATATCGCTTTAATAATTAATAATTATAAATGCGACAACAAATTTAATTTTTAAAATAAGGATTATTGACCTATTATTATTATTGTTATTATTACTTCTACTATTGTTATTGTTGTTATTATTATTATCATTATTATTAATGTTATTGTAGTTGTTGTTCTTTTTATTATTCTTATTATCATTTTCATCATAATTAATATTTATATGATGTATTACTTAGATATTTACTTATGTAAGTACTTATATAGGGTTTATAGGGTCAGGGAAAGTCAGGGGCAAAAGTGTGTTTTTCAAATGGATTAGGGAAAGTCAGGGAATTCACTAAGTGGTCAGGGAAAACAGTTGCTTTTTTTCTTAGTCGCAATAATAAAACATTTCAAATTCTAAATTTCATTTATAACTAGGATTCTTATAAATTGTAAATATTTAAATGTAATCATTTTAAATATAAATTATTTTACTGACTGTTTAATATTTTTATTTTTGAAGTTTTATTTTTTTATAAAATTTAATCTACTATCTAATGTTTGTTGAAATTCTAAAATAAAAATTGTGTATCTTTTTTAAATTAGTATTTTGAATAATTGTAAACCTTTTTCCTAAATAATTTTAAGTTTTTTTAATTTCTTAAAAACTACCTTTTATTTTTAATATTTAGTTCTCACTTTTTTAATCCTTTTTTTTTTGTACCAAACATTTTAACTTGGCAAAGACAAATTAAAATACATTGTTAACTATGGAATCGCACCTTATTTCAGTAAATTTTTAAAAGTACAAGTGTGTGCATCAGAATGACTGACTGTTTGAGCAAAGTTTGAACATGGGTTTAATAGTGAGGTTTTGTCAGTGTTATCTCAAGATAGTGTTATCTCAAGATTTCGAAATAGTGAAATTTTTTAGTTGTGAGAGCACTAAACTTAATGATTTCTTTTTTCATAAATCCACTATCCATATGCCAAAGAGTTAAAGTCTGTTCTAACATCAGTTTTAGTCACAAGTCATGATCAAGCAAGTTTAGAGAGAGGACCTAATGTTAAAAAGATTGTAACCAAAAGTAATTTAAAAAAAGGATCAATAATATAAAGAAAGATAATAGTAAACCATATGCAAAAGAACAACCTGATACTTTCAACAATAAAACTAACAAACAAATTAATAAAATTTGTGAAAGGTGCACGCCAAATTATCAGCTAGACCTTGATCAAGAGAAAAAGAGTATCAAAAAGAAATGTGTGGGAATTAAAAATTAAAAAAAAAAAACAGTTCAAATTTTGGAAGAGAAAAAGAACAAAGTAAAGTGAAACTAATCTCTTTTTTTAAAAAAAAGATATTACTTTATTGTAGCTTTTCTTTTTCTTTATAAAATAATTGAATTTCAAGATAAAGATATATAAATTTTCTTACTTTTTTATTTAATTATTACAATAAAGGAAAAATTAAAAATTAAAAATAAGCTTTATATTAAGTACTTTTATTATATATGTTGGTGTCAACGCATGTCCATGTGAGTACTTTTTTCTGTATGTGAACGTTAATCCAAGTCAAAGTGAGTTAATGAGTCAAGGGAAAATTGTGATTTGATTTGGTTTTTCTTTACAATCTACTGTAGCAATGATTATAATTAAAGTTCACATTTAAACTATTTGTTATTAGCTACTGTTAATAACATTAAGCTTCAATATAGCTGCCTGTCTATTTATTTTTATGTTATTAACTATTCTTAATAACATAAAGTTTCTTGATGGCAGCTTGTCTATTTATTTTTTATGTGTGTGCTTACACTATGTTAAAATGCATGTTGATTTTTAATGTTCAGTTGACGGATTTTTAACTTTTTAAATAACTCATTTATATTTAACCTGAATTTTTTGAAATTCTCTGTGAATATAGCATGACTTATTTTTAAATATTACAGATAAATTTTAAAAATAGTATCACAATATCAGTTACAAAGTGATAGATATTGTGAAAACACTTTGCAGTTATATTTTTAATGAGTTGATAAGTAGCTTGCTATAATTTTTGCTATTTCTTTTATAATCAAGGTATTATTTGTGGTTAAAGAAATTATTCTTATAATCGCTACAATTTATCTGTTATAAATATTTAACTAATTATATATATATTAGAATTATTCATAATAATGACATCAATCCTTGAGTCTTTCCGAGCTCAATTTATTAATGTTGAAAATACAGAGGAGTTAAAAAGTAGAATCAAAGATCTAATACCATTAAATGATGATGCTTTTTGTATACTACATGTAAAAGGTTCCGTAAAAAAGTTTAAAGCTCTTATTGAAAGCAACTTGTCAGCAGAGCAGGAAGATGGATTTATTCAAAATTATTGCAACCAGACAAATGAAACCTTGCGTAAATTAACACCAAAACTTCCGAAAAACGGGGAATATGACAAATGTGTCTATTATAGATGTCACCATAACACAAGATATCAAGCAACAATGAATGCTGTTGAAATAATAAAAAAAAAATCCTAGCCAACGATTTAAAAATACTGATTGCCCATTTAGTTTGATATTAAGGGTACAGTAGGTACAATAAAACAAAGACTATCAGAGATCTTGAATGGACACATAATCACCCCATAAATTCTTTCCAATAATTGTCATTTAATGACATGCAAACAGATATCTCATCTTCAATTTATAATCTTTTTGAGAATGGTTATACACCAGGATTGGCATATCGTGAGTTTTATAAAAAGACGAAAGATAGGTGTAAAAATGAAATCGAATTTCATAAATTAATTTCTAATCGATCATTTTTTCCACGAAGAACAGACTACAATTTTTTGTATACAGAATATCATAGGTCAAAGTATGGCACAAAAGATATGAATTCTATGTTTGATGTTTAGTACGGTAAGAATTAATTTGGTTTTCTTTACATTTTTTATAATTTTTTTTTACCATTGTCTCAATGTGTTTTTCTCATTTTAAATTGTTCAAAATATAAACACCTGGGTTTCTTTCCATTGACATTATTATTAGTTTATGTTTTATGTCCTCTGCTTCTATAGTAATATATTTTAATACTTTAGTTTTTCATTTTCATGACTAAAATTTTTTGTTAAATTTTTTATATTATTAGGGATCTGTTAATTATTTAATAATGACTTAGGTGCATAAATGTTTAAGGGTCTTCAGCTACCTCTAAAAACAATTTGTTCAAAAATATATTAAATTCCAGTGTTATTTTATTATATTAAATACATTAAAGGGGTAAGAGTAAAGATATTTTATCTATCTATCTTTATATATATATATATATATATATATATATATATATATATATATATATATATATATATATATATATATATATATATATATATATGTATATATATATGTATATATATATATATATATATATATATATATATATATGTATATATATATATATATATATATATATATAAATATATATATATATATCTACATATATATATATATATATATATATATATATATATATATATATATATATATATATATATATATATATATATATATGTATATATATATATAAATATATATATATATATATACTCCTAGATCTACTTTACGGTGACATGCGCAAAAATTCTACTATAAGGCGACATTGCGGTTTTTACCACAAAAAAAAATTTTTTTCGCGCTATAACAACTTCACTCATTTTATAATTACTCCTTTGAGCATATTCTATTGAAATTAAAATAATTGCACTTCCCCACAGTGATATACAAAAAAAAGTGTTACCTTAACGTTTATTCTTTTGTTGATTTTACTCAGTTACCTCACCTTAGGGTAAAACATCATAGTGAAAACTTATCAACTATGAAGGAAAGCCTTAACAGATGTTAGCGAAATTAATAAATTTAAGTTAATAAGACTTGGTTCTTAAATAAAATAGTAAAAAACTAAGTTTTGTGTTTCGCTAAAGTAAAAAATAAGAGTTTTAGTGAAAAAAAAAACTATATTTTTTATTCGCGCATTTTATTCGCGCACTTCGTGCTAAAAGTTTAGAAAATAGTAAAATATAGTCGACCAACTCCTAAATTATGTTTTAATCATAAAAATAATTATATATATACATATAAAAACACTTAAAATCTTTCAAATGTACAAACTGTCACCATATGGCATTTGTAGGCAAATTTGCCGTTTTATACAATAAACACTCTCAAAACTGCCTTTTCCATATCTCCCCAAAAAAATTTTAGTTTGATCCAAAATTTATTTTTTATATTATTTAAATAGATACCTAAAGCTAGGTAAAGTTTAATTTATAATGCGCAAACCAAAAGCCATTAAATTTGAATCAGAAACGTTAAGGTGACCACAAATAGTTGCCTTAACCGACTGTCGCCTTATAGCGCGTTTTTTTAGCACGTTTTGTCGCCATTGAGTATATCTAGTGATATATATATATATATATATATATATATATATATATATATATATATATATATATATATATATATATATATATATAGATATATATATATATATATATATATATATATATATATATATATATATATATATATATATATATATATATATATATATATATGTATATATATATATATAAATATATATATATATATATATATATATATATATATATATATATATATATATATATATATATATATATATATATATAGATAGATAGATATAAGTGCTAATATATATATATATGTACATATATATATATATACATATATATATATATATATATATATATATATATATATATACATATATATATATATATACATATATATATATGTATATATATATGTATATATGTATATATATATATATATATATATATATATATATATATACATATATATATACATACATATATATATATATATATATATATATATATATATATATATATATATATGTATATATATATGTATATATGTATATATATATATATATATATACATATATATATATATATATATATATATATATATATATACATATATATATATATATATATATATATATATATATATATATATATATATATATATATATATGGGTAATTCCATGTAAAAGTGGGACAAAAAATTTAAATTTTTCAGTCACCCCTTTAGATGTCTTTCAAACTTTAACCAGTGGAACCAATCAATGAAACATGAAAAAATTTAAAGTTTGAGCTTCCAAATCCAAACGGTTCAAAAGTTATGACATTTTGAAATTCAGCCTCAAACAGCTTTTTTTTCCCCAAATCTGCCATTATGGATTTTGTTGATATACTTTTTTATGAATAATTTATGTTCTAGTGGAAGAATATGGCTAAAAACTGGTACCTGACCATTTTTGAGGGTGCTGAATTCAAAAATATAGAGAAACCGACCCAATTTTGAATTTTTAATGGTCATTTTTTGATTTTAAAATGGTCAGTTGAGTTTTCTGTTTCATCACTGTGGGTTGCGCTTTCACCATCTGTGGGAGTTGCCCAAGTCTCATGGATTAGAGTTTTTGTTCAAATGAAAGTAGAGATCTTGAGCTATTTCAATAAAAAATATGGTTTTGGTCTCTTGAAGCATAATAATGATATGTCATTTTGAAGTTTAGATAAAAAAATTCCTCATTTGGTCTAGATTCTTTATTATAGATTTTTTAACAATACTTTAAGTGTGAGTAATCGTAATGAAGAAATACGAGTAAAAATTAGTACCTGACCATTTTTGAAGGTGCTGAATTGAAATATGAAAAAAAAAAAAAACAAAATCAAAATATTTCTTTATTTTAAAATGGTAAGTCAAGTATTTTGTTTCCTTGCCATAAACAGGTTAATGCTTTCACTAAATCTTGAATTGCCTGAATCTCATTGATTTAGTTGTGGTTTAGAAAAATAGTTTTTTGAGGTTGGTTAATATGATGTAGAAATATAGTTTTGCTATTTATACATCAGTTGTGATGTATAAATATAGTTTTTTGGTGCCAGTTATGATGTATAAATATTGTTTTGAAATGCCAGTTATAATGCATAAAATTGTTTTAATTTTAGAATAATTAATTATTGATTCTTATTTGGTTTCTCAGTCATGATAAATAATCAACAGTGCTCTATTGGAATCAATGCAGTAAAGGCAAATTTGTAGTACCAGGTGAAAAGCTTTGTCCTCAATGCAGACATAAATTAGCATCAAATGAAGAACCAGAAGAAATTGAATTAGAGGTAAAATTAATTGAAGATGATATGGAGAAAAAAATTATGCTAGAATCAGCAAGATCATTGCTCAACAATACCTTATGTGAACTTGAAGTGTCTCCTCAAAAAGTTCATTTACCTAAAACCTCTAACAAGTCTTCACTTGGAAAGCAAAAGATAAAGCAAGTTGAAGAAGCAGTCATTAAAAAACTTGCAACTGCTCTAGATGTCACTGAATGCGATCTTGCTGCACCAAACAACATTGAAGTTTTAAAGGAGATTCAAACCAAAGCTGGCGATCTAGACTTCCTTGTTGAATGCATGAAAGAAAAACTTAAAGTTTCTAACAGAAGGCAGCAACTTCAAATTTTGACATTGACCCTAAAATCTTGGTCTATCAGAAAAGCAGCAAAAGAGTTTTCAGTTTCGAAGCACAAAATTCAAAATGCCAAGTTTTTACGTGACCAAAAAGGCATCATAGCATACCCTGATGTGGTTGAACGGCATCGAATCAGCAAAGATGATATAGAACTTGTAAAACTTTTTTACTGTGATGATGAGTATTCAAGGCAAATGCCAGGTAAAAAAGACTATGTAAGTATTGGGAAAAAAAAAAACACGTCAAAAAAATTGATTTTGTAACTTAAAAGCATAAAACTATGCAGCATATAAGATAAAGTAGCCTGAGCATAAAATTGGATTCTCCAAATTTTGCAGTCTTTGGCCTAAATGGTGCATCCTTGCTGGTCCAAAAGGTACACATTCTGTTTGTATGTGTACAATACATCAAAATGTTAAATTGGTGTTAAGTGCTGTAGGAATAGAAATGTCTTACCATGAAATCATTGAAATGATTGTATGCAGCAGAAAATCAAAAGTTTGCATGATTCACTGATGCAATAGTTGTCCTGGCATACAAGCTGCCCAAAATTTTTTACAACAGTATCTTACACAAAATGATGACCCAGAAGAGCAATATGACTGATGAAAATGAACAGTCCGTGGATTTCAAACAGTGGGCAACAACAGATAGAACTGAATTATTAACAATAAACCTACCGTTAAATGAATTTATAGATCTGCTGTGTGAAAAGCTTGATAAAATTACTTGTCATTCATTTATTGCAAAATCACAATCTAGCTATCTCAAGCATCTCAAGGAAACACTTAGTATTGATGAGGCAATTGTCCTGGTAGATTTTGCAGAGAATTACACTTTTGTAGTACAAGACGAGGTACAGAGTTACCATTGGAGCAAGAGTCAGTGTTCTCTACATCCAGTTGTCATCTATTACAAGAAAATGAAGTTGGAATCATCATCTTTTTGCATAATTTCAGATGATTTGAATCATGATGTTGGATTTATTAATGAAGTTATGCATAAAACCATAAATCATATAAAAGCTAATATTTGTCCCACAATTACAAAAATTCATTATTTTTCTGATGGTTGTGTAGGGCAGTATAAGAACTGCAAACATTTTTACAATTTATGTCACCACTCTAAAGATTTTTCTCTTAGTTGCATCTGGAACTTCTTTGCAACAAGCCATGATAAATCTCCATGCGATGGAATAGGTGGCACTGTAAAAAGGCTTGTTGCCACTGCTAGCTTGCAGAGTCCAAACACAGGTCAAATACTGTCCGCTCAAGCAATGTTTGAATACTGTCAAAAGTCAATCAGTGGAATTATGTTTATGT